TAATTCGCGCCTTTATTTTATGCACTCATAATTTATGGCATATTTCCTAGAATTTTTTTTAAAACTTCATAATAGACTTCATTTGTAATTTATTAATTGACTCTGATACCAATATTTATTAATTAGTTGCTGTTAAATACAACTCTTTCTGATCAAAGGATAAATATTTTATCCATTGAGATAAAGTCTTAAAATGTAACCGGATTTTGAAATACATGTACTCATGGATGTGGATAAATGACCTCTTAATTCAGAGTTTGATAAGTTGAATGAAGTTTAAGTTTATAGTTGTACAATGTTGTATATCATTTGAAATTAGTCATAAAATAAAAGTATTTTAATTTTCGTCTGTAAACAAGCCCCCATGAAACAACAAAAATTTTCTTACGCATTTGTTAAAAAACAATTAATGATACAGTTACAATTAATGATACATATGATAAAGCTGTTGGGGATGTTTTAAAAAATGATATTTTCCATTGATTTCTATAGCAAAATTATTGAGTTTCGACTATATATATATATATATATATATATATATATATATATATATATATATATATATATATATATATATATATATATTATATGTATAGAGAGAGAGGGAGAGAGAGAGAATCTAAATTTTAGTAAAATTAATTTGTCTATAAATTCTAAAAATAATTAGCATATAATATCTTGGAAATTGACACAGAGGGGTTGTACCTTGGGGCATTGCTCTTCATCATTAAAAAATATGATTTCAAGTTTGTTTGCACTTATTTCCAGGCTGGATCGTCACCTCTTCCCGATAATGACCCTAGGGACAAATATTTGTACGAATTGACTGTTTTCACCGGCTCTAGGAAGGGTTCAGGTAAGTGAAAGGCTTTTTCACTTTTTAAATTTTTTAACGTTCACACTTAATCGCACCAAATCAGAATATTGTTACAGCTTACATTATTTCAAACTATGTGAAAATCAGAGGCTAAAATAAAGAATCAGAATTCTTTAAAAATGTACGTTTTATACAATGTATGTAACAGGTTTTACAAGTACATACACTGCACACATTGCATACTTCATTCCATTTAAAAGTGGAGCATGGAACTACCACTGAATTCAGCTAAAATAAAATAAATTTTAGTCATTCATTACCTAATTTTTAAGAAATTTTCTTTTTATTTGAATAGCGTAATAGCTTCTTTAAAATACATTTCAGGAACCACAGCCAATGTTTCTTTCATTTTGACTGGAGAAAAAGCCGAAACACCGCCGCGATACTTGGCCGATGAGAAGCGCCCTGTTCTTCAAAGGTCAAATTGTGATGGTTTTATCATAGCAACCCCAAAATCACTTGGAAAACTTACCCACTTACGGTAAAATTGCTTTAATTGTACTTATGTTTCAACTATGCCAATTCTCAGAATACTTGATTCTCTGATTATTTATCTAGCAGGAACTCTTTCGCAGAGGTGGTAGGAATCATCTAATGATTTGGATAATACGCAGTTGAATACACAAGAGATCTCTACATTTTTTAGAACACATAAGACAACAGTCCTGTTGAAATATCTTGCCGAACATTTGGTGAACCAAAGCCCTCTTAAACTAGTATTAATTGTAACGGGGACCGTTACAGATGTTCCCCAAACGCTCCCCAACTTCCTTTTGGTGTCTTATTCCCTGTAAGCTTCATTAAATAAGGCAATCAAGTATATTGGGTTTTTTTACGCATTACACACGCGCGCACGGGCATGCATGTACAAAATGACAATGTCAGCTTGTCTACACTTTTAATACATCTTTATATTCAAATTTCATTAAAAGATAAAAAAAAATTCGGCTATATTAAGTATATCTGTCATTTTACGCATTGCATGAGCGCGCACGTGCATGCATGTCCATGATGACCGTGTCATCTTGTCAACACTATAAATATATCTACATATTTCGGGTATCAAATCATTTCATCAAAAAGTATAAAAGTAACAACTATATCAAGTATATTGGTCATTTTAGCATTGCATGCGCGCGCACGTGCATGCATATGCATGTTGACAATGTCGTCTTGTCTACATTTATAATATGTCTATATATATTCTGAGTATCAAAGCATAACATCAAAAAATGTAAAAGTTCTGGCTATATCAAGTATATTGGTGATTTTATTCATTGCACGCGCACGCACGTGCATGCAAATGCATGCATGTGCGCGCTGATCATGTCATCTTGTCTACACTTCTAATATATATTTATATTCTGAGTTTCAAAGCAATTCATCTAGAAATATACAAGTTAAGTCTATATCATTCGTATAGGTTATTTCAATCATTGCGCATGCGCACACGTGCATGAATGTGCATTTTGACCATGTCATCTTGTCTACACTATTAATATATCCTGATATCCTGAGTATCAAAGCATTTCATCAAAAGAGTTGAAAGTTATGGCTACATCAAGTATATTTGTCATTTTATTCATTGCAAGCGCACGCACGTGCACGGACGTGCATGCATGTATGCGCTGATCAAGTCTTCTTGTCTACACTTCTAATATATATTTATATTCTGAGTGTCAAAGCAATTCATCAAAAAATGTACAAGTTAAGTCTATATCAATTGTATTGGTTATTTTAATCAATGCGCATGCGCACACGTGCATGAATGTGCATTTTGACCATGTCATCTTGTCTACACTATTAATATATCCTGATATCCTGAGTATCAAAGCATTTCATCAAAAGAGTTGAAAGTTATGGCTACATCAAGTATATTTGTCATTTTATTCATTGCAAGCGCACGCACGTGCACGGACGTGCATGCATGTATGCGCTGATCAAGTCTTCTTGTCTACACTTCTAATATATATTTATATTCTGAGTGTCAAAGCAATTCATCAAAAAATGTACAAGTTAAGTCTATATCAATTGTATTGGTTATTTTAATCAATGCGCATGCGCGCACGTGCATGCATGTGCATTCTGACCATGTCATCTTGTCTACACTATTAATATATCCTTATATTCTGAGTATCAAAGTATTTCATCAAAAGATATAAAAGTTATGGCTATATCAAGTATATTGGTCATTTTACTCATTGCACGCGCACGCACGTGCATGCACGTGCGCGCAAAATGACCTTCGTTCCGCAAATCTACATAACATTCCTATTAACCCTAAAAAGGTTTCAACTCAATCGGATGTATAGTTTCGGAGATCACTCACGGACAAAAAAGTACCCAGGAAGAAAAATAATAATAATAATAATAACTAGAAACTCATTGCGAGCAATGAGAGGTCTTCCGTCCGATTCTGAAAATAAAAACGAAAGTTCAAGCTGAAAAAGAGATAAAAGAAATTCAGACACTCTGTAAATTTAACCCTTGTCGTCAGCGTGAAAATCCAACTTGCTAACGTTAACCATTCATTTTTTACATCACATCCGGTCACGACCGGAAGTACCAGAAGTAACGGCTATACAAGATTTTCTCACGATTCATATAACTGATGACTGACCATCAGTCTTGAAAGTTTTAGACTTCAGTCGTTTACTGTTGCCGAGCAATATTGTGAGATCAAATTCTAATTTTGAGGACAGGTAAACAAGAGACCGGAAGTGAATTTTATAAAAATCTTTGACTTTTCTCTAGACATTTGCAATATATACAACATACATAAAGTCATTTCAAGTACTTTATCGATGAGCAATATTTATGAGAAAGTTAAATATCAAAGTAAAGTGGTTTATCTCCTAAAACCGGAAGTTGACGTTTTTGTTTCCGGTGGAATCTAACATATTTCTAAACAGCGAAAGAGATGCAATAAAGTGATGCAAGCATTAATTTAAAAAAGAAAAGTTAATTTTTTTTTAGATTTCTTTGATCACTTACTGTGACAAGCGGAAGTGACGACTGACGCGTTTAACCCAAATGGTTTTGCCTACTCCTCAAGGTCTATTACTTATAAAAGTTTGGTGTTTTAATCTTTTACCTAGTTTTGAGATCTCGCTCAGACAACTTCAAATTTTGAGGACAGGAAAACATGCGACCGGAAGTGAATTTTTGAAAGATATTTACGATTACTCTAGACATTTGCAGTCTGAATAACATATTTAAAATTCATTTCAGATACTTTTTCTAGAAAAAAATATTGATGGAAAAGTAAAATACTCAAATTATGTAGTTTTTCTCTTATAACCGGAAGTTGTCGCTTTTGTTTCCGGTGAGACCAAGATCTTTCGAATCTGCGAAAAAGATGCAATAAAGTGATGCAATTTTTAATTAAAAAAAGAAAAGTTGAAATTTTCGATTTCTTTGATCACTTCCTGTGACGACCGGAAGTGACGGCTGACGCTCTGAACCCAAATGGTTTTGCCTACATCTTAAGGTCTGTTGCTCATATAAGTTTGGTGTCTTAATCTCTCACCGTTTCCGAGATCTTGCTCAGACAACTTCTCATTTTGAGGACAGGAAAACACGCGACCGGAAGTGAATTTTACAAAGATATTTAATGTTACTCTAGATATCTGCAGTTTGAATAACATATTTAAAATTCATTTCAAAAACTTTATCTACAAAGGATGTTAATGGGAAAGAAAAATACTAAAATTATGTAGTTTTTCTCTTATAACCGGAAGTTGTCGTTTTTGTTTCCGGTGGGACCAACATATTTCGAAACTACAAAAGAGATGCAATAATGTGATGAAAGTATTGATTTAAAAAAAAAAAGTTGAAATTTTATGATTTCTTTGATCACTTCCGTAAACGACCGGAAGTGCCGACGACGAACGAAAATGTGATTCCACAAATTTAGAAGTCACGTTCTATGCTCTCCAATAAGTCTCCAGTTCATATCTTTAGTCATTCTTGAGAACATTCGAGGACAAAATTTCATTTTAAAATCAGGAAATTGCCCGTAACTTGGAACCAAAATGGAATTTTCCAAATTTTCCTTGTGATGAAACAAGTTCATACAATGACTAATTTTTCCTGAAAGTTTCACGAAAAACCACTGAATAGTTTTCGAGAAAACGCCTGCACAAAATTTGGTCAAAAAAATAATAATAATAATAATAATAATAAGAAACAGTAGAATCACTATAAGGTCTTCCGTGAAAACGGAAGACCTTAATAAGAAACAGAGTAAAAACAATATGTTCCCAAACTTCGTTTGGGGAACATAATTACATTTTGTTATATATATTACAGAGCCAGTTCTTCTTATTAAATTCAGTCATTCACATTTAATATTTTTTGTTTATTGTTACTATTGAAAGTTGATAGAATTCTCTTTACATTTCTAATAAGACTACCTGCTGTCTGAAGTGCAACCTAGGCCTCGGCACTACTTTGTACTTTTTGCATACTAGTTGTTCCAATCATTTGATGGACAATGCTATGTTTCAGAAATATTTAAAGCTTTGACCTTGCCGCAAAAGTGAAACTGTTACAATCACGATGTTTGGAGAGTGGCCTGACCCCCCCCCCCCTTTTTTCCCCAACCTGAACTTTTACAGTTGACAGTGTTTATTTAAAGGTTAGGATTGTTTTTATTTTGATTGGGATAGGTCCAAATTTGAAAATTGGCCGTCGTTTTTCTGAAGTTTCACAGTTTCAATTTCTTTGTAAAATGCGATTGCCTAAAAATGAGTGAAATCTCATTTCTATAGGTAACTTGTTTTTATGGTCATTTTGGCCATCGGAAAAATATTAACGAACTTAAAGTTTTTGTATCTTTTTGTATTCACGGATTATTCTTATGATAAAAGATTTCAAATGTCCATCTGAATCTTCTTAGATATTTGGTTAATGCATTTGTTAATTACAACTTTTAAACTCTCAAGCATCTTGTTCGCAATTAAAATGTTTTGCATTTTTTCTGGAAAGGTTGGTTAGTTGGTTGTATAGTATTGTTGTACGTCCTATTAGAGAATTTTTCACTTATATAGAGACGTCACTATGTACCAGTGAAATGCTTCAAATTTATTTCACTAATATTTAACTAATGAAGTAATTATCTGATAATGCTCTGTACTTTTCATTTTCTGTAACTTGATTGCCATGGTGAATCAATAAATGAAACTAAAATTGAATTAAAAAGGCGGTAGCCCCCCTCCCCCTCCAAATTCGACATGGTAATGTATGAAATAATAAATAACATTTGTTCATGGAAAACGTCAAAGATTTTTCAAATAAGTTATATATATTTTTTGCCTTCCCCCTTTCAAAAACGATACTACGTGCCTGAGTCAGGTAGGTAACCGTGAGGTAATAACGATACTTATAAAAAGTATTAATGAAAACTTAAATATACATTTATACACGATATGTTATCAGAAGGGAAGACGGTTTAAGAAGGGATTAATGGAACAGACAACGCAAGATTTTGTTAATCACTAGACTTGAAGAAATCTTATACTAATCATTGTTAAATTCTATAGTAATTTAAAATTAAAATTTCTTTTAGAATCTGGCATGACAACATGGGGTCTAGCCCTTCATGGTATTTAAGTCGATTGCAAATTCAGGATCTTCAAACCGGAGACAAATATTTTTTCATATGTGAACAATGGTTGTCAGTGGACGATGAAGATGGACTGGTAATTATTAAATAATCCGTCATATAGTCATATTTTATTTCATGTGAGCTGAAAGCTTAAATATACTTTCCTGATCACATGTTTTGCGGCCTCCGTATGTCTGTCTGTCCGTCCGTCTGTACCAATTTTTCACATTTTCGACTTCTTTTTTTTAAAGAATCATTTGGCCATTAATTTTGAAAAAAAAATGACACAAAGCGTCGTGAGTAAAGGAGATTCTTAAATGTTCAAAAAAGGGCCAAGACTTCTGCAAAGACCAGATAATCAAGAAAGAGCAAAAATAACATGAGATAATTAAAAAACTTCATCTCAAGAATCACTGGAGAAGAAAAGATGACAATGATGAGAAAGCACCCTTAGCTAACACATATATATAGATTATAAATTGTTCAATCATGTTCCCAGGAGTAGGGTGGGGAACAATAGGGGATCGAAGTTTTACTTCGAAATAAACAGAGAAAATCGTTTTGAGGTAGTGACGACTCTTAATTGTCAAATCATGGCCTCATAGGGTAGGTGAGGCTACAATATAGCGGATCGATTAAATATACAGGAAAAATCATTTGAAAGTTACTCCTTATGAACCACTGGATCAGAAAAGATTAAACCCTTGAGAAAGCTTTCTGATAAAATGTAGATTCGAAATACTTCAATCACGGCCGCCTGGGGTTAGGGTTGGGCCACAATAATTGGTCAGAGTTTGACATTTAATTATGTAGGAAAAACCTTTTAAATTGTTTTTTGCAAGAACCACTGAACCCCCACCCCCTCCCCCCTAAAAAAAGAAATGTGTAAAAGCTTCCTGACAAAATGTAGATTCTAAATTGCTCAAATTATGACTCCTGTTGGTTGGGTGAGGCCACTGTAGGGGATCAAAGTATTACAAAGTGTTCAAATATATAAGATGATTTTTCTTTCTATGAACACCTGGACCATAAAAGACGAAATTTAGATGAAAGCATCTTGAGTTTGTGAAGATTCTAAATAATTTTTCAGGAACCACTGAGTTTATGTACATTCTAAATTGTTAAAATCGTGGCCACTATGGTGGGTGGGGCTAAAATACAAAATTAAGGTTCTACATTGAATATACACTGTGCATGTACAGGAAAATGTCTTTAAAAATCCTTCTTACGAAGCACTGGACAAGAGGAGATGAAATTTATGTGATAGCTTCCCGATATAATATAGATTATGAAATGTTTAAATATTCGTCACCTTGGGTAGAAGGGGACCACAATAGGAGGTAATGTTTTCACGTTGGCATGAATAGGAAAAGGAGTTAAAATCTGAAAAGCTGAAAATTGTGTGAAAGCTTTCCAAATAGTTATAATGTTGATTCTTAAAATTGTTCGAATCGATTCCCTATGGGTATTGTGGAGCCACAATGGGGTGAAGTTTTACTTTGGACTAAAGAAGAAAACATGTTTAAAAATTTCATCCGAATAAAATTATGCTAAATGCATGTACTAGGAAAAGAGTTTTCTTCTCTGTAACTGCAAGGCTATGATAGTCATACTGATATTGAAGAATTCCCTCATGTTGTATGGAATCAGAGATCCCTCAGCATTAGTTTGGGGCCTTAATATGGGGTCATTATTTTTCATAGGAATATAAAAAAATCTTTAAAATCTTCTGGAGATTAGAATAGCCTAAGTTACTTAGGTGAGCTTTGTGCCCCTTGTTGTCTCAACTGGCCCATAAAAGATTATGCAATGGTTAGGACACCGCCTTTTTGTCTGTTTTCGGGTAAAAAAAATCATAATCCTACTCATACTAAGTTTTGGTCCGATTTAAATAAAACTTAGTACACTTTTTCACTTAATTAAAGTATACTATTTTATGTACGTTTTTTTTCCATTTCAACGAAAGGTGTCGTAATGTTTACTAAAATAATTGTTCTTCGAAATTCTTTCAAAACACTACTCATCCTAAAGGAATAAAACTTGAGATCTTTAAGTAGACTTTACTAAGATACATAATTCTGCCTATGGTTTGTAGCTCACCTTAGCTGAAAGCTCAAGTGAGCTTTTCTGATCACATTTTGTCTGTCTGTCTGTAAACTTTTCACATTTTTGACCTCTTCTCGATAACCATTGGGCCAATTTCAACAAACATTCTATGGTGAAAGGGATTCAAGTTTGTTCAAATGAAGGGCCGCATCCTCTTTCAAGGGAAGATGATCAAGATTAAGTGAAATTTGGGGGCAAAAATGTTTCTTCTTAAGAACCAGTCGGCCAGAAAAGTTGAAACTTACGCGAAACCTTCATTACATAGTGTAAATTTTAAATTTGTTCAAATCATGACCCTCAGGGATAGGATGGGGCCACTATAGGAGATCAAAGTATTACATAGTAATATATAGGGAAAATCCTTAAAAATCTTCTTACGAAAAGAAAAGCCATGATAAGTCATTTTGATATGGAAGCATCCGCAAGTAGTGTAGATTCAAGTTTGTTCAAATGATGACCCCAGGGGAAGGGTGGTGCCACATATTTAAAAATCTTCTCAAGCAAAGCCATGATTAGTCGTATGAATATTGAAACATCCTCAGATAGTTTAAATTAAGTTTGTTTAAATCATCACTTGGGGGTACGGTGGGGTCACAACAGGAAAACAAAGAATTACATAGGAATGTATAGAGGGAAAAATCTGAAGAATGCAGTGTCATTTTTGACTCAGGTGATTGTTGTGGCCCATGGGCCTCCTGTTCGAATATGAAAATTTTAAAATGCTTCTCTCTGTACAGTTCTGGTCCTATATCAGTAAAGCTCTGCACACATCTCAACTACACTAAGATACTGTACAAAGTTCCTCTTCATCTTTTTTTTATTTCAGCGAATGGAGAGAAATTCTGTAAATTTCTTACAAAATGCTTTTTTTCCTCCTACAGTCAATAAAACCGTTTATAAACTAGATGCATATATATATATCCGTTTTTGATCTAGACTCACGGTGTTGCCATGAGTATAAGAAATACCAAAAATTCTGTGAAATTCTTTCTTTCAAAACGCTATTCCGTTCACAACTGGAGTTTTTCAATAAAACTGTACTCAAGTGGATCACAATAAAACGCACAATTCTGCTTTGTGGTTTTGATTTTGAAAAAAAAACAGTGTTACGTTCGAATTTAAATTCTAATTTTTTTATTAACTCTTTCAAAAGACTGTAGTTTTAGTCCGATTTCATTACAACTTGCTAAACAGAAACGAAACAAATATTAATTATCTTTATTAGAACTGCTTAAGTTTTAAGTGCTATTTTTTTCTTTTGATATACACGTGTACAATCCAGTAGAACTACATTCTCATCGGGGATTTCTAGTTCAAATTATTGTGTCTATAATTTCTAACTTTTTCTAGACTTTCTTTTTAGTCATTGTAGTTATCAGTATATATGTATTCATGGAAGACCCTTTCAGAAACATTTTTCATCGAAAAATAAAATCTATCTTTAATGTGATTTTTTTATCTTTAAAGATTGACCGAGTGGTTCCCGTAGCCGGTAGAGCAGAATTGACAAGCTTTAACTACTTGTTCTGGCAAAAGACGAAACACAATTTGGCTGATGGGCATTTGTGGTTCTCTATTTTTCAACGTCCTGCAAGGAGTAATTTTACTCGAGTCCAGCGCCTCACTTGTTGCTTGACACTTCTATTCACTACAATGGTTGTAAGCCTCGCTTGGTACCAGACAGACACAAGCCCTTCACCTACGCAAGTAAAACTTGGACCAGTTAGCTTTTCTCTGACAGGTGTTTACATTGGAGTCATGAGTGGTATCATGACCTTCCCAATTAATTTCATAATTGTTTTAATCTTCCGCTATTCTAAACCTAAGCCCGAGAAGAAAAAAGAATTTAATCCTAATAAGGTCAAAAACGAGGAGGATGAAAATAGCCCAAATGATGGATCAACAGAAGAAAAAGACAAGGAAACAAGAGCTCCCACGAGAATGGGTACAGAAATTAGTCTTTTCAGAGAAAAGTCTGAACTCAATCCAGATTTTGTGGAACTTGAACTGAAACAACAAGAGGAGTTTTTAGAAACTGGAGACGAGAAAAAGCGTGTGATGTCCTCAGATGAATCACATGAAGAAAAGCAGGTCATGAAAAAAGATCAGACAGAGTTTTCTCACAAAGTACAGGTTGTTGCATTTGAAAAGGAGGGTGCAACTAAAAGCAAAAAACGGTTACCATGGTGGTTCATCTATGTAGGATATATCCTGTCCTTCATTACTGTCGTCGTAGCATTTTACTTTGCTGTGGAATTTGGAGGTGTCTTTGGACTTAATAAATCAGTCAGTTGGTTGATAGGTTTCATCATGTCTTTGTTTGAGTCAGTCTTCTTCTCCCAGCCAATTAAAGTAATCATTTTTGCAATCTTCTACGCTCTTGTCATAAAGAAACCAGAGGCGCAAGACGAGGATGATATACCTTTGAAACCAGACTTAAGTAATGACGAAGAGTATCTTCATGATCATCTCACAGAAAAAGATTTAGAGGATCCTAAGAAGCTTCGAATGCTAGAGCAAAGGAAAACTCAAGCAACTTTACCACCAGAACTAGATTTCCTAAAAACTATTCGCGAGGAAAGGTAAGTATTTACTAGTAGTCAAGAATGATCCTCAAAAATCACTGAAAGAATAATAATGAAATTTGTTGTTCTTACAGGCAAAAGGAGCTTGCTATGTTTGCCATGTTTAAGGAGATAGGAATTTGCATTATGTTCCTGTATATAGTACTCACAATTGCATACGCAAACAGAGATCCTTGGTCATATTTACAGTATCGTAACTATGAGAACATCCTGAACAAAGGCACGTTTGCTCGAGAAATCGGAAACTATACTGTTTCTTTCATTGATGTAAGTACATTGAACTTGCTTTCGGCTTTTTGATTTGATCATTTGCTTGTTGAGTATATATTTAATAGTAAGTTTGTTTTATTTTGTATGGTATTTTAAATACTAGCAACAGTTGTAGGCCAAATATACAGATCCCTGTGATAAAAAGATAATAAATACAAAATTTCTCAATTTCAGATCAACTCTCGGGGGCAATTTTGGAACTGGAGTGAAAATGCGCTTCTGCAAGGGTTGTATAATACCAAATTCTACAACGGTGATCCAGTTATTGACAAACTTATAATCGACAAACAAAGTATATTAGTCGGTGGAGCAAGATTACGCCAGATGAGAATAACCCCAGGTCACTAAATTTAAAAAAGATTCCATTTTGACTACATAAAATTTTTCTTTAAATTTACAAAGCGGCCTAAAAATTATTGTATGAAATTATTTTGATTATTTTTTAGAACTGTGCTTTGTCCCACTTAATTATTTTGCCAAAGAATGTATGCCTTCTTATGATATGTTTTACGAGGACAAAACAAACTACAAACTACGATGGAATCCAGTGAACGATTCAGGTCAGACAAATTTAACAGACGAATTTAATTATATAAAATTAGTTTATGTTAACCTAGAGCTTATTTGCATATATCACTGTATGTATAAAGATTTTTTTTTTGCTTTAATTTTGAGTTGTTAAATACTATCAACCAAAGATGCCATAACCAATACTCTGTTAATTGGTATGGATTCGTGTGATTTCACAGCACATACATTTAACACATTTTGAGTAAATTATAAAATACAGACAATGTGAATAGGATCACTACAATACTATATATTTTTTAAATAATTATTTGTAAATTATACCGGAAGCCTACTTAACTCTCATGAATCTCATTTAACTGAACAGAAGTATTATATCTTTTTGAAATACCATTTCGAGCTTCAGGAAAACCTTTTACACTTTTTAAGAAGAAAAATTAAAAAACAATACACGTTTCCTTTCCAATAGTCATGATTGACAAATATCCGTGGTTAGTGTACAGTCCCATTCTGAGTGGTGAACTTTGGAATATTACATCTTGTTTCGACCCCATTCATACATGTATCTTGTAAGAAATGATCTTCTTCTTTCAGGACCCTTTGTTTTCTGTACCATACCTGTAGGCAGAAAATCACGCTAACTGCGAGTACATGTATCAAAATCATTCTGTTTTCAATCTTTCGTTTTAACTATTCAAACTCTGCGTAAAACTTACGGAAATAAATGGTTTTGCAAGACAAATGAACACGGTCTTAGATGCACCATTGTCTTACTCTAAGCGAACAAAGGAAAGACTACCTTTACTATTTTGTCTGTGATAGCTGAAGATGATATTTTCTAGCGATACCTTTTTTCTAAAAAAAAAATTAAAAGAATTCAGAAGCACTTATATTTATTAATGGTATACCTATCAGAAAACGTTTAACAAAAATCTTTAAGCAAGGGACATGCAATTCATTTTACAGTATTATTACCGATGAAGCTACAGATTGCAGATTCTTCAGAACAGTAAACCAAGAAAAGTGACGAATCCACAGTATTTACATTGCAATAGCCATGTTTAAATTAAATATAATTTTTTCAAGTAAGCTCCGTAAAATAAGAATATATCTTTACATAATATATTAATTCTAATATTTACACAGATCACAGATGTGCATTAGAGAAGATATTCAGCCCCTTCAATGTAAATCTCAAAAAAAGTTCAAGAGTAAAGTTTAATTGTAAATCACAGTATTTATTATAACAGTTGACTACAGTAAACCTTAGAAAACTATTGCTAAGGTTGGGGTCAGAAAATCGCTTTCTGAAATAGCGTAAAATCAAGTTTGTTCAAATGAAGGCCCCGATTTTAGGGAGGAGCCACAATAGACAATTTTTTTTTTTCGTCGGAAAATAAAGGGAAAACCATATTTAAATATGCTTTCTGAAGAAAAGTAGAGCCATGATTACCGGTAGTCAGTTTCATTTTTTTTTTCCAAAATGTGGTCCAAAGGGGATGGTGTGGGGTTACAATAGAAGACGAGTTTTACCCAACCAAGGCCGTCGAAGGCACATTAGAAAGCAGATGCTGCAGTATCTCAGGTGACCGTTTAGGCACATGGACCTTTTTTATTTAAATTAAGAGGTGTATGTTTATTATTGATGTTGCAGATCCGACCGATTTTCCGCACCCCTTCTTCAGTTACCAGTCGATGTGGGAGCTCTCTGGCTATCCCTATCAAGGAATTTTCGAAACTTATAACGGTGGAGGATACGTGGCCGAGTTGGGAGCCACATTTTCAGAAGCTCAGATGGTACTGAAGTTCCTTAAGGACAACTCATGGATCGACAAGCGAACAAGAGCTGTGTTCATTGAAGCCAATATTTTTAACCCTAACATGAATCTGTGGGGAATTTCTCTTTATCTTTGTGAATTCCTACAGACTGGAGGTAAGAAACATGATTTCAATAACAATAAAATAAATCGCAACCAAAAAAAAAACTACTGATATGAAGGAATAATAATTTCCAAATGTGAAATATCAAAGATTTATTGTTATTTATATTCTTTTTAGCAATTGAACCTTTCCCTAGGATGCATGTCTTTAGATTAGACCGGTATATTAACAACGACTATATGTACTTTGTCATGGCCATCGAAATTTCAGCATTGGCTTTTGTCATCTTCTATACTGTTAAAGAAGTCAAGAAAATGAAAGAACAAGGCAAAAAGTATTTCAAGGTTTGTTGTACCCCTGCAAACGAAATTTGGGGGGTATACCCTAGTGTACATCTAGGAATCACCTTCCGTCTGTCAATTTGTCGTTTGTCTGTCTGTCCGTGAAGTCCGGGCTATAACTTTATTATGGGAATACTGGGATCTCATAGTCTGTACAAAGAATTGCTTATGACCTCGCGGTATGTCATGACCTTAACCTAAGGTTACTCGTCAAGTTCAAAGTCACTGAAAGAAAAGTATAATATTCGTGTCCGCTCTATATTTTTTTCTGATGAAGAATCAATCGAAGTTAATACTCCATACAGAAATTGCTTATGACCTGAAGATGACTCCACTTTGACACAGGATCATTTGAGCAAGATTAAGATCACTGTTAGGAAAACCTGAGTATTACATCTTAAAAATGGAGATTAATAGAAGATCATCATTATATCATAAATATAGCAAATGACCTGAGGGTATTTATTGACCTTGACCCAAGGTCATTTAAGCACGTTGAAGCGTTAATGGTTGAATAAGTGTATTATTCACGTCCCGTCTTTAAAAAAAGAGGCTTATTCAAAGATGATAATTGATGCAAAATTGATTATGACACGAGGTTCCAGCTGTCATGATCTGACCCAAGATCATTTACGCTAGATAAAGCCACTGGTAGAAAAATGTTCAATTTGTGTCCAGTATATAATGTCCTAATGGAAAAACATGGAAAGTTGATACATAAATATTACATATTATGGCCTGAAGGTGTGTCATAACTTTGACCTGGCAACTTCAAGGCCACTGGCAGAAATGTTTACCGGTAAATGTTTTGTTCACTTTAAAAAAAATGCAGTCGGGTTCAGTTTTGTTTTTTTTTGCGATCTTATTCAGTCAGGCCTATTTTATCAAATACCTTTTTCTATTAATAAAAAAATTGTGTTGTATTCTATTTTTTTTTTTGCGATCTTATTCAGTCAGGCCTATTTTATCAAATTCCTTTTTCTATTAATAAAAAAATTGTGTTGTATTTTATTTTTTATAATTTTTACAAAAAAAGTATTAAATATATATTCTGCTACTTTTAGCAATTCTGGAACAACTTTGAGGTGGCAATCCTGCTAATATCATACTCCATTGGGTTGATGTTCATCTGGAGAGCAGTTCTTAGTGTTAGAATGCTAAACAAAATTGACGAAAACCCAACGAGTTTTGTCAATATGCATTTTACAGTTATGTTGGATGATGTAAGTTCCTTTTAATAGTTGTCGACTTGAAATATAAACTTTATTATTCAAAGCTCTACTCGGGATAATCCTAGAAAGCAAGTATTTGTACATTTGGCTTTATTTGTTTAACAAAATACTCCTCCATGATTTTGATTTTATTTCATTTAAAAAGTAGACCAATCAAGTAACACACTTCTGTTTGTCAGCTCAAATCAATTTTCTATATTAAAAATACAGCAATGTTAAAGATTTTAAATGCTCCTCTTCCTATAGTTTTGGGTCTGTTTGAATAAAATTTAATTCACAAAAAAGGCCCATGGGCGACAACGCTCACCTGAGTAACTTTGGCCCTGCTGTTCTTCACCAGATTTCTTCCTTGTAATACTTGTAATTATTGTGGCCCCACCCTACCCCCGGGGTCATGATTTGCGTAATTTAGATTCTAGTCTACCTCAGAAAGATTCCATATAAGTTTCAGCTTTTCTGGTCCGGTGGTTCTTGAAAAGACTTTTAAAGATTTTTCCATTGTACTTCAGTGTAAAACTTGGATTCCTTATTATTGCCCCACCCTATCCCAAGGGGTCATGATTTGAACAATTTAAAATCTATACTACCCTAGGATGCTTCTACATAACTTTCACCTTCTTTGGCCCAGTAGTTCTTGAGAAGAAGATTTTTAAACATTTTTCCTATAAATCTTAATGTAAAACTTTGATTCCATATTGTGTCCCCTACTTTCTCCCGGGGGTCATAATTGGAAGAATTTAAAATTTACACTACCCCCAAGAGGCTTCCACATAAATTTCAGCTTTTCTGACTCGGTGGTTCTTGAGAAGTAGATTTTTTTAATGACCCCGCCCTATTTTGAAATTTCCCTTCACTCAAGACTGTTTTGTACCAACTTTGGTTAAAATTGGCCAAGTGGTTCTTGAGAAGTTGAAAATGTGAAAAGTTTTCAAACGGACGGACAGACGAAGGACAACAGGTGATCAGAAAAACCCACGAGCTTTCAGCTCAGGGGAGGTAAGAAGACGAAATCAATATACATTTTGTTCATAGGCTTTGATTTGAACAAGAGATATTTTTAGGGTTCCGTAAAATATAGCGTAGTAAATTCATTTTAACATAATACTGCTGCTACACTAATTTGAATAAAACTTAGATAAAATTTTAACTACATCAAGAAACAAACTTGCGTATCTATTTCTGAATCTGATGTACAGTCTTGCCAAGAATTAACCTCTCCCCCTCCTATTCCCCCAAATAAAGAAAAAATAAAATAAAAAATGGTATATACTAAATTGTGATTTTCTAATTACATAAAGATATATATATATATATATATATATATATATATATATATATATGCCAGTTCCTATAAAATTATAAAATGATGATGTATTATTAATACTGTATCCCATGATGTAATCGAATAAATTGAACTCTTTATTTTACCTTATTTACAGCTATCCAGTTGGTTCATCGCTTTCTTGGTCTTTCTTCTGAATGTCCGATTTCTACGACTGCTTCGTTTCAATAAGAAAATCTCCTTACTAAGCAGTACGCTTCGACATTCCGCCAAAATGCTCATCAGTTTTAGCTTTGTCTTTAACATCGCCTTCCTTTCGTTTGCCTGCACTGCATATCTTTTCTTCATGTCAAAGCTGTTTGAATTCCGGTCTTATATGGTAACCCTGGAGACTTTGCTGTCAATGATGTTAGGTAAATATATACATAAAATTAAATATTTTTATAGACAACAAAGCAAAAAATAGTGAATGAGAAGAGCAAGAAACAGCTTGCATTTCGTGGTTTCCTACACAAAGAAAAACTACTTAATAAATATTTTTGACTATAATATATTACAGGCAAGTTTGACTATGAGGCAGCATACAGTGCAACCCGAATTACTGGCCCACTGCTATTTGGATTCTTCAGCATTTGTTTTAGCTTTATTCTCATCAACTTTTTTCTGACTATTTTGATGGAGGCTTTCGAGGCAGTGAGAAGAGACCCAGCCAATCAAAACAATGAGCACGAGGTTATTGATTATATGATGAAAAGAGTTAAGATGCTGTTAGGTGTAGGGACTCCACCAAAAAGAAAGGTTGCTCATATGTACAAGGATCCACGATTGCAACAGTATATTTACATTGAAGGTAAATATAACTTCATTTCAAAGAGTACGTTGAAGATTTATAGATTCAATGATTGATTTATAAAACTATATCACAGTCAGAAAATTAGAATTAACATTGAAGTTACCAAAAAAAGACATAGAATTGACAACGAAGTATCGAAGAGACATATAGTGCAGTTCTTTCTACTAATTAAAACATAATGTTTCAAAATTCATGGGTGGCATTTCAGGGTTCGTGTGCCTTTTTGAATTGCTTAATAAATACAATATTTGTCTGATCCAGACGATTTACGTTTAGGGTAGCTAAGAACGATAATTGACAATTGTTACCTGACATCACAGAAAAGTTTTTTTGAAAACTTACGAACATTTTTTTTTTCACAAAAAAATATTAAAAAGTAAGATGAATAGTATGTATAATTGGAGTATTCCCCATACATCATCATGATCAAAAAAATTTCCTCTCAGAAAATAAAAGAAACAACAAGGTTCAATCGTTTTCAAAGAATTTCACAGCGTCTATAATTCTATAAACTAACAAACAATTAATGTTTACTATTAAAATTTAGTCCTTAGCCCTGACAGATTTAATGTATATAAAAATGTACTATATGTAACTAATTGCAAGAAAACCACCCATTTCTCTTATAATCCTTGTGCTCATTTACAGGAAAGACAGCTGACCAAGAAAAACTTCAGGAGCTAGACGAAAAGGTGGACAAAGTTATAAATAAAATGGAAGGGTTTGTCGAGTGCGATGACGAAGTCAAAGATAATCTAGAAACGGAAATGGAGGAAGTCAAGAAAAAACGGAGAAGGAAAATTGTGATTGGCTGAAGAAAATTAATGGGATAAATCGAACAGGGTTTAAATAGAGTAGATAAATACCAGAAGGACGTGTATGTTACTCTGAAGTAAATAACTGTTTTCGTTAGTAGCTTTTCCATTTCACTTCAAATTAGTTTTTTTAAAGATTAAATAACTGAATGATACTGTTTATATTACTAGTTACCTGATTGTGAAAAGTATGTTAATTTGTTCAAAAAATAAATTTTGTAAAGTAATATCTTAAGCAAAATGTAATAATATTCATAAGCAAGGCCTCTGACACAGAAACATTTTTTTATCATTAGTAAGTACTATCTATTCAGATGATCCTTATCGAAATATCTATTAAAATCCCTTCTGATTTGTATTTTTAAAACATTCTGTGGTAATTTTTCTTGACGTTTCATGACTGCCATGAATAAAATATTGTTTTTGCTTGGTTTTTCTTATTGAACTCGGAAATCACCTTGCCTGATATCAATAGAGAGATGACCAACTTACAAGTATGCCAAGTGGGAAAACGCTTTACTGTTAATTAGATAGAAAATTTGAAGGAAATGATTATATTACTTGATACATGTATTTTTTTTTTACTAATCTCAGGTTAGACTTTCTATAAAAAATTTTTGAAGTAGTTTCAACTCTTACATATAGTACTGACAATGATTCTTTCCTACCCTGTTCGACTTTCACATTAAACTGAGTAAAGTTGACTGGTAAATGGAAAAGAATTATCTTTGCTCACCATATTTATTAATCAAAAAACAGCAAACCGATTTTTAACCGAGCTTATTGCTCAAAGAGCAATTGCCGGCTATTGTCAGCCTGTTCAAGCAGGAAGTTCACCGCACAGCTTCAAAAATAAATTTACGTGTAAAAATATACACTGTAGTTCTTACTCTCAACCGCATTTGGAGATACTACAAACGCTAAATATACCAACAAAAATGAAACAAAGATTTTCTATACAAACAGCAATGGTAATGAAATTAAAAATTACAGTCTTTTGTAAAATAGCTTACGGTAGTTCTATACTCGGCACTAAACGGGCTCAATCTTGAAAAATCTACTTTTATAAGATGGACATATATCCCAGCAACGGAAAAACAAAAGAAAAATTATATGTCAACATGTTTATTTTTCTGCTGTTGACTCTCAGACTATGTACCCCGAAATGCAAAATACTCAAAATGTACCTTTCCATGAATTTGTCTATATATAAGAATTAAAATCTAAACAGTCAACTTTAATACACAAAATAGAATAGAAAAATGTTAAGGAACCAAATTAAATCATTGTTTTGCGTGAATTACTTTATATTTGTGCACTTTGCTAAGCTAACGTATTAAAATTTAGTACGAGAAAATATGCTTCAAATGTCAATCTCGGTCAATTTTTAATATTTTTATGGACTCGGTCTTCAAATATTTGCTTTCTTTTTACATAATAACATCTAAAAAAAAAAGAATAAGATAAAACAATTATATGTTGACGCATTAATTTTCATATGGGCTCTGAACTAAAGGTACACCCATGAAATTTCTCTTTCAAAAGGACGATATTGCCACATTTTACTATAAAACGGTTAAAGTTTGAGTGAAAATTTCTATTCACAAAGTTGTACTTATTTAAAACAATAATTCACACCCAATACCTATTGCCCCTAAAATTTATCTTGTTTTACATAAAAAAAACACACTTGTCAGTAAATTAAAGACAATGAATCAGAACGTGATTGACTGATTCTCACAAACTGGATGACCTGTTTAAAGAAAGTGTCCTGTAAGTGAATCATCAACTAATTTCATATACTAGTATTCTAAAATTTTGCATTGTGATTAAATGTGATGCCTTTGCAGGGCCGGGGGTGGGGGTGGGGGTTATATGCGTCTAATGTGATAATTATTATTCAAGATAAATATTGCATTGTTTGAAATAATAAAATTTGTCATTGTCAAATCGTAGCAACTCCTTTTCTTGCGAACTATCAGTGTTAGCTTCAACTTGTCCGCTGACAATAGTATGTCTCAGTGTGTCTGTCTCATCGATTTGATACATGTAGCATACTCGTGGTGCATGTTATCATAGACAGAAATGTCTATATCATATTTTTATTACCTTATCGTCTTTCTGTCAACCGAAAGTTATTTCCAGCCTTCCCTTTTTAAGTAATTTCTCCTTAAACCGTATGAGCAATGTTTGTAAGTTTGTTGATGCGACCGACTTAGAACAAAATCGTTACCGGATATTTAAAACGCCAAGTAAAAGTCAAACCAATATAGTTTTAAAATCGTATCTCGGAAATTGTGGTTCCGGTTTTACTATTCGTTAGTGACGTAGTGCAAGTATTGGTCTACTTTTTTGATGGTCAGTGTTGTAACCTGGTTCTCTACAAGACGAAGAAAAAACAGGGCAGGAAATCCAACTGGTCTGTTTGTTTACCTTTGGCGGCGGTGCCAGATTAACCCTGACCCTGATTAATTCGGTCTGTGGTATAAGGTCCCATTATAAATTTGGTATACCATTTACATTTATACTGAATTTTTAAACTATAGTTTTCATAATTTTAATTTTTTTCCACATAAGATGTCACTGAATTCCTTATTAATAGAGTATCATTTTTAATTGAGCCCGGCTTGCAGTACTATGAGTACTTTGATGATGCTTGTGAGCTTGAATACTGTTCGTTATCTCCCTATATTTCATTTTGACTGAACTGTTTTTACGGGTCCTCCACACATCCCTAGCCTATGTTCTCATATTTCTGAGCATTACTTTTAACAAGAATATCAACCTTAAAAATCTGGTCAGGAATTGAAATATAATTTATACTGATCTTTTAAAAAATGATGTCATAAGGAAGAGATTGCAAGGGTACATGAAAAAAATCCGCTCTATGAATTTTTCTCATTTTTACATATAGTTTGCCTTACGTTAATGATATCATAATATGAAAATGTCAACCATGGTCATCAGGGTTATAAGGAAGATATGGTTGCCATGGTAACCACCGTTTTTCAATATTTTGATATTTTTGTAGTGAATTTTTAATTATGCCATACAGGTATCAAAATCGAAACAAATTAAATAATTTTCACCCGATATTAAATAATATGCTTTATATTCATTGAAAATAAAAATTGTATCGGAAACTATTGATAGATGTACTAATGCCACAGTTACTTTGGGGAGTAGTCATTGTAAATTTGCAGTAATATTTTCACCCCAAGAGCAGTTTTCAACGTCTTGACAAAAAATTGCCCAATGAATTTTCCTAAAATTAATATATTTTGTAACAATTATTATAAGTGCGTTATGGTTAAAATATGAAGTGGGGTCATCACATTCTTTTTAAAGCTACATGCATTTCAATACCCCCCCCCCCTTTCCTAAAATATTGAAAGATTTCATAAATTTTAATCTGATGGTTTGTTGCTGAACCTTTAATATGCATAATCTGTTAAAAACTATAGAAAATACGTATAGATTAATAAATATTTTTTTCCTGAAAATCTTGTAGTGGTTGCTCATTTAATACGTAGAGCAGAATGATAGCAGAATGATATAAGTACCATGTACACAAAAACAACAATATGCATATTTTTTTATTTCCCCATCTCCAAAATATTCATTCCGTTATTATATCAATATAAGTACATGTATATACATTCTAAACCAGTGCACAGTGGTCTAAGGGCCAAATTGTTCATGCTCTGAACACTCATCGAGTTCTCTGCACTGTGACTTGGAATCGAAAAGGGGGGGGGGGGGGAGGGGGAGTCACTTGAACACATTGAATGAATAGGTTATTTCAGAGAACTTGTACCTGCAATATGTACCGTATATAAGAATCCTAACTATTATCTTATTTGACAAATTTATGATTTGCTATTTAATATTTACATTTGCAAATATTTTTCCTTCAGATTCATTGCAAGTTAGAAAACAATTCATTTTCTCATGAACTTGGTAAGCCTACATATCTCCATTGTGACGTCATAATGCCACACTTGACGTCAAAACTATAGTGCAAACTGTTTTGTTTCAAATAATCGTTGAATGACATTTATAAATTTGCGCTTCATGCTTACACGGTTCATGAAATATGCTGAGGTGAAGCGTCTTTGTTTATGTCCTCGTGAATTTTAAAAAAATTAAATTCATTTTTAAAATATATTCCCGTGAGCATGATGAGTTGAAATTTTTTTTTTTTTTTTTTTTTAAATGTAGTATGCTCAAAATAATTTTCTCTTTCTGGTATACCTGGTACCTCCGTAGCACCTCGATTTGTCAGAATTAACCTCTCTTAGTTTCGTCTGTCATTCTTACACGTGTATTTTTTGCTAGATTTGTGAAAACTTGCAAAAAGAAACTTTTCTTTTCTATCAGAAGTGTGTTAAGTTTCAAGTTTTTACCAAATACGACGCATAAAACATTTTACCACAACAAATGTTTACGCAATAATGTGCCTACGATTCAATGTTTACATGGTCGATGTAAGAGTTGAAAATGCTAGAGAAGATCTTACAGAGGAAAACAATTTCCTCTGCGATATTTTTAAAAATACGTTCATGTCCAGCATGCTACCTCAAACTGGTCTATACACGTATATATGAAAATCGCATTCGTTTATCTGTCCATCCATATAGGCCTATATTCATTATAATCACTGAGAAAATCACGCCGCCTGAAGCTTCTAGGAAATGAATATCGGTTCATAGATGTAGATCCTATAGGAAAGAAACCGATCTTAAATAAAATTCAAATATTTTAAATAAAACTAGAGGACATAAAGATCCAGATATGAATTAAATTTATTCATGAAATAGATTTCAGTGTTCAGAACTACGACAAAGTAGACGTGTCAAAACGGAAAAAAAAACACAGGGATAAAAAAAAAAATCTGCGTCTACGCTCACCAACACTCTGCAACATCACATCTTTATATTATTCTTTCTCTGTTTTAAAACCATTGCCACGAAGATCTTTTGTCATGGGCGTAATCATAATCACGCTCCTTATTCAGCTGTTATTCCGGAAATGGTTACCGTAAATCCTCTTTTTTTTAAACATCACATGAGTCGATCACGTGACGCCTTGCAATCGCTTCCATAAG